GTGTGTGTGTGTGTGTGTGTGTGTGTGTGTGTGTGTGTGGTCTGTGCAAGAGGCTCACCGCGCAGACGAAGCACTCCGGATGCCAGGTGCCGTTGGCTGCAGTCAGGTAGTTCTCCCTCACGGGTTCCCCGCAGCCCGAGCACTTTGGTGCAAAGAGGTGGTAGAAGTCCTTACAGCAGTACGGTTTGCCATCCTTCTCCAGAAAGCCTGAGATAAATGCAGAGGTGTGCAGTAGCAAAGTACATTTACAGTGCCTTTTTGGGGATCTGTAATTTTACCAAGTATTTTATTTTTAAATCTTACATTTTTTCACATTAAAAACATAAAATTATACTTTTACTTCTTCATGTTAAAATTTAACACCTGGTACATGCTACAATGTATATATGACTATATGTGATGTATATATGACCAGAACTCATCGTAACAGGAGTTGTTTATGCACTTTAAAAAAGAAGTGTTGAATTTATTTGAGTAAATTTAAAGAGATTTACTTGTGTAAATCTTGTACATTTATTCAACTCGGTTGAGTGGAACAACTTGACATAACTTGGTAAACTAATTTTTTGTGTATTTTTACTTTTACATTCCTGATTATTGGGAGCATTGTTATAACCTTTACTTCTGTACTTTTCTTGTCAGTGAAATTCATTTTTGTCCAAGTTGTTTTCTATTAAAGGAGACATATTGTGCTTTTAAATCTTTTTTTCCAACATATGTTAACATTGGGGTCTATATAAAGTGGAACTAAATGTTTTGGTCTGAATTCCTCCTTWTTGTAGCTTCACAAGCCCCCCTTTTCCAAGGTGCGTCTCAGATCAACTCGGTTTGATGCTGTCTCTTTAAACCAAAATGAAGTGCTTCACACACCCTGCCCCCTTCAGCTTCCAGAGCAGTGTAGTGTATTTAATTTAAAAAACTGTCAACTGTTTTTACTCAACTGAATTAAGATAAGGAAACATAATTACTTTACGTTTACTTTACATTTACTTAAAGTCAATGTAAAATAAATGTGTTATGGGTTGAAAAATACGGCCCAAACAGAATATAAAGATATCTGCGCAGCACCAGGAGAAACTAAATTCATAGTCTTCACTCCTAGAGACTCCAAGTACACAACAAAGTGTATTTAATTGCTAAAAAAAAAAAGGATTTTGCATGGAATGTCCTGATTAAAGAAGCTTTACTTTTACTTAGTAACTTTTAAGTGTATACATCTCTGGATAGACGGAGGATACCGGTAAACTTAAATGTGCTAAACATTTTTATTATAGGGAAAAAAAATCTGTCTATTTTCACCTTCTGCTCCAAAGCGGTCTCCACAGTGTGTGCAGAAGAAGTGCTCCGGGTGCCAGGTCTGGTCCAGAGCTGTCAGGATGTTCTAAGAACCAAACCAAAAATATAACATCTTATTTCACTTCTCTTGAAGATTGGAATGATGTGTCTCACACCACATGTTTAAAAAGGCAAATTGAGAAGCACATGAAGAACCAAAGATGTCATTAGTTTCTGATTTATGTCTTTGGTCTGCAGCGTGATGTGAGCCCAGTCTGAGAAACCCCAATATGGTTTTGTCTTTTATTTATTAGCAAAACATATGGGGGGGATTCTAAGAAGAAAAAAAKCATCCTTCTTCTAAGGATCATTGTGTGGATAAAACTTGACAAAACTTATTAAAGCATATCTTGCTGTTTTTAGGTTCCACTAGAGCATTAGATGTATTCCACAATGTCACATTTGTTTGATGTGGAGACAGAGTTTCTTTCATTTTTCAGTGCTCTCTTACTTTCAGAATAGGCCCCTTGCAGTAGGCGCAGCGTGGAGAGAACAGCTGATGGTAGTCGTCGCTGCAGTACGGCTGTCCCTCCCGCTCAAAGAAGCCCATCGAGCTCAGCTCCTTCTTGCACACGGCACATACAAAGTGCTCAACGTGCCACACCTGGCCCAGTGCTGTGATCATCTAAAAAGAACAAAAACAGTTTAAACGAATAAAGGAGGAAAGAAATGTTGTTTTAGTTTTAATTATTCTTTGTGAGTCTCAGTGGTCTGCACCCCACCTTTCCCACAATGCATTTGTTGCACGCGGCACAGTGGCCTTTAGCAGTGGTCCGCACGCCAATCTTCTCCAGATCAGAGCTCAGCCCTCCCAGGAGGTCATCTATGGTGTCTGTCTTCTGTCTCTGAGCTGGGTCTGTCTCACCTGAACCTGCCGGACCACCACGGCTGCTACTTCCTTCCTGCTTTTTCTCCTGTTTTCCCTCTTCTGGGTTCCTTTTTTCTGTCACTGGTGGTGGAGGTGAAGGTAAATGGTCCTAAAGAAAAATATACACACCCACATAAATAAATGAATTTGATTGATTGATTGATTGATTGATTGATTGATTGATTGATTGATTGATTGATTGATTGATTGATTGATTGATTGATTGATTGATTGCATGTTGGCTAATAAAAAAGGTTAAAGTCAAACAACATTCCAGTACTCTCTCGCTTGAAGCTGTAGTGTTGGTTTCAGTCCTATGCTGCCCTCTATTGTTCAAACATGTTAGTTTGTTTTTTTCTTTTTGATTTAAAAATCTCAGCACCTTCACTGGTCTGTCTTTAACGTATTCAATTTCACACACACACACACACACACACACACACACACACACACACACACACACACACATTCCTGACCCTGTATTTGAGTTTTCTGGAAGATTGTGAAAATAAATCTGTTCTGACAAATTCCCTGCAGCGACACGTGTCAGACTGAGCAGTGTGTGTGTGTG